CAATCTTCATCTTCAGCTATGAGCCAACGCCGCCAGAAGATATGGGATTCTTTGCGCCAGGATACAAGAAGCTTGAGAAGAGAGATGAGAGAAAGAAACGGAGGAGATTACCCCTGCTCCACCGGAGAAGGAGGTAGAAGACAACAACGAAGAGGAAGAGCGAAGAAGGCTTAGACAAGAATTGAAGTTGAATGGATGTAGACAAAGTCTTGGTGAATGGAGTAGAGTTGACTCAAGATTCTTCAGCAACTTTGAGGGCAGCGTGTTCATTCTCGGTATATCAGGCAGTGGCCCTAAGTTGAGGTCTTCACAAACATCCTCAATCACAACAAGAGATTGGAACTCTTGAATGCCAAAAGCTTGGCGAGCGAAGCAAAAGCTCAAGAGACAAGAGAAGCACTAGGACAAAGTGTGGCTAAAATGCCAGATGAAGCCACTCAAGCAAGGCACATATTGACACACCGACCATATGCCACTTGGTGTAAGGATTGCGTTGAGCGTCGAGCGCGCCCAGACCGCCGTGAGAGAACAGATGGAGTGAAGAGAGGAAGTATCCCTGAGGTAAGCTTTGACTTTTGCTACACTAGAGCAAGGGATTCAGAAACGAAGTCAGCAAGAGCAGTATGTTGGCTAGTTGCAACCGATAGCCAGACGATACCTTCATGCTGCGCCATTTGGAAGCAAGAATTAGTTTCGCCTCATTGTGCCAGAGTTGATGAATTTCAGTCAATTGCGGGGGTATTCAGCAATCACCGAGAGGAGTGACAATGAACCCACAACAAGACAAACCCTGAAGATGCTTATCATTGCTCATCACAGCCTAGGACTTACTACAAGATTCAACACCTCAAAATTGGGAGATCATTCATTTCTGTCAGAGAACACAGTTGACAGGGTGAGAAAGCTTGCAGGAAGTTTCATGGAAGGCTTGCAGTCGAGACGTGGCATCAAGATAGGATCAGATCATGCACTTTGGACTTGGGCAGCGGGACATGCCAGTTGGGACATACCCGTCAAAGGTGTCACTCCATATGAACTTGTCTATGGCAAGAGTTACAAAGGACTTCTAGCAGAATATGGTGAGGCAGTTCATGGTTACATTAAAAGTCTCAACAAAGCGAGAAGCTAGATGGCATCTATGCTTATTCTTTGGAAAAGTGGAATGTCTTGACAGATGGTGTGCAGGTAGCGCTAAGCAAATGCAGATTGGTCCAAATACTTGGCAACCTCTAAAAGCTTCAATGCCTATTCATTGCAATACCAGGCAAACTTTGGAGGTAGGATCATTGCCGCAAAGAGAAGAGCAGAAGCAGCGCCAGTAGCAAAGACAGACATTCCTCGAGAGCGTGTGATGTTGAAGTTCAAAGATGAAGATGCAGAAGCCGTCATGGCCAAAGCTCTTGAAGGAGGAAGTGATTCCAGCCCCGCTGGAAATCCGGCTGAAACAATGAAAAGAGATGGAGGTGAAATGAAGATTAGTGGAGAAGAAACTCCAAATAAGAAGCATACATTTCTTTTTGCAGATGAAAAGACACTGGAAAAGGTGAGTGCATTCCCATCTACATCATTGCCAGCAGGCCAACCCAATCCAATTGGTCCTATACTATCTTCACCCAGGTCATCATCAGCGCCTTCGAGAGCAAGGGAAGCATTTGAGTTGCTTGAAGAAGAAAGTCCCATGAAGAAATTAACGCCATCAGAGGATTCAAGCAAGAAGTTCAAGATCAACTTGGTAAAAAATGGTAGGAGAAGATCTCTATCATGTAGATGAAGAGCTATCCCCAGTTGCAGAAGAAGTTGATGAAGAGGACTGGGAAGAAGAAGGAGAAGAAGAAAGCGAAGAGGATGAACTACATGGACCTGAATGCTTGCGGTGTGATGGAGAACATGAACCAGAGAAGAACTAGAAGAGTGGATAGATGGAGTAGCTGATGAAGTTGAAGAGAAAACCACGAAAGATGCAAGCGCTAGAGAGACCAGAAGGCAGCGCAGAAGGTATCAGTACCCTGACTACACGCAATGTGTAGGAAGAAGCAGCGTCAGTGAGGAGGAGGAAGCAAGAGAGGGAGAACGAGCATTTTCTGAAGTGCTAGGTTGTCTTGATGTGAAAGATCCTTTCTAGCAAGTTCCACAGGAGAAACCTTTGAAAGTGAATTTGAGAGGGGAAGAATTCTTGGTCAAAAGGAACTTACCTAGACGGCGGGTTGGAGCAAAAGCATGGCTTGACTTCTTCACAGAGCACCTCACCGAACCCAATTACAAGTTCAGTGCTGAGTGTCCACGCCTAGGAAGAAATGAGAAGGGTATTGTTTTGATTCACGTGGATGACTTGATTTTCACAGGTTGTTCAAAGTACATCAATGAAATCTTGCTTCCCAAGTTAGAAGTCGACGGACTATGGATCCAACCAGGCAACTACACCCAGCAGATGTTGAAAGCCTATGAGGAGCAGATTGGCCAGACCAAACTTCAACAACTAACATCGGACAACTCCATCCAGATGGAAGACAAGTCAGAGATCTTGAATGATCGAGAGAGGATCAGCCTATTCAGAAGCATTGTTGGTTCAGGAATCTACCTATGTCAAGAGAGGTATGATGTCGCGTTTGCAGTGGGGGAATTGGTTTCAAGAATGGAAAATCCAACATCTATGTCGTTTCATCACTTGAAGAAGTTTCCAGGATACTTGAAGAAGATCCGCAAGCAGGAGAAGGCTGTGTGAAGAAAGGAGAAAGCTATTGGTGCTTAGACATTCTCAGATTCAGACTGGAGTGGAGACAAGAGCGATAGAAAGTCCACATCAGGAGGGTACCAATAGACAGCAACACAGCAGTACCAAACCACTTGGAGGCCAGAGAACCAGATTTGGAGAGAAAAAGCTTCATTATCATTGGTTTTGAGCACAAATATGAAGGGTTGAGACATTTACGCTTGTGCAGAGTGAATGAAGCAGAACTCAGGCTGGTTGAGGTTGAGTATATGACTAACCAGAAAGAAGAAGATGAACGCCAGCTAGCCAAGCCCACAAGCTATGCCAGGAGAATTCATTGTGATTCATTGTGGATTGATTCTCAATGGGGGTTTTGTAGAAGAACAAGAAGTTGATTGGATGCCTATATGCAGGCGAGACCAACGCAGGAAACTAAATACCCAGAAGGAGCTTAGAAGACATGAGATCAACCGCAGGACAGCATCATGGACATCAGGTGATGTTAGCAGGTACCCAAGGAGCAGTTCCCTCAGAAGGACCAACCAACAGGATATTCAAGCCAGGGAATACAGAATATGTGAACAGCATTGAGCATGAACAGGAGCAATTGAATCAACTGTGTGGTTGACTTTCTAGGAAGATTGACAGTTTGAATCGACTAACAGTGGCTACTAGCAGGAAGAGGAGATTATGATCAAGCAGACAAGGTTGAATATGAGAAAGATCGATATCAAAGGCTGATAGATGAAAAAAAAGAGGACCAAAAAATCCAGAAGACACAGCAGCTGAAGACTCAAGGAGTGCCGTTCCTTAGAGGAGAGAGAGAATCAACCAAACTATGATGAAAATAGGGACTATGGCGACAGAGTGAGGTAAAATAGCAATTGAGCGCTCACACTACCGAGAAGGAGTGTGAAGAAGTTTCAATGTAGATCAGATGTAGTATGTAAAGCATTGCATTATAGCTTTGACCTGCGCGTGGCCCTTTTGCATCCAGAGACAAGTTCGCAATATATATATATATACCTATGTATGTTCCAGTTTCTGAAGAAAACATCCAAGATTCCCTGCTCTTAGCTGGCTGTCTGCCACATGCTTTCTTGGGCCAGGAGCAAGGTGCGGGGCAGAAACCCCGAATACTAAGTAAGTAGTAAGGGCAGAATCGGAAAGTCAAATAGACTAGATGAACGTTAAATAAAAAACCCACCACAACATTTCACAATCAAAAAGAAAACACATGTTTGGAACAGAAAATCAAAAATGCAAAAGTATAAAAAACTCAAAATTTGATCATCTTGATCCAACAGTTATAATAACTACTGCTATCTTCTATTTGAGTTGTTTGCCAGGAAGGTGCCCGTGTACCGTTACAAATAGAAGATATATAGCTACAATTTTTCCATATGCGCCAGCAAGTTCACTGAGCAGGGAACTGTCCTTACTGACTGTGCCACGTGTGGGTGATTGCCAAACCATCCATCATCACGCAGTTGCTGCAAACTCCACAAGCCGGCGCGAACGCACACACTGGCGTGCAAGTGTTTAGAACCCAAATGATGTCTCCAGCGTTGCCACTTCTTTGCAACACTGCCATGGACGTTCATGAACACCTTTTGTTGAAACACTGTAGCACGCGTTGGGGAATATGCTGAGGATTTTTTTCTGTGAAAAGGTCCCATACAGAATCAGCAAGGACGTGCGTGCATTGTATATATCAACTCCACTTTTGTACAACAAGGTTTCTTTTAACATTCGGGTGGTATGCAAGTAAAATCAGTAACGTGCCCTGGAAACATTAAAAGAATCTCCTGGAGACCAATTCCCTACAAATGAATCTCTCGAACTTTGTAAACACAAGGCCCATGCCTTCCCAAAAGCAAACAACAATTTTCAGGGTTTCTCATTGCATTTTCATAGGGAGGGTGTAGACATAAAGAAGCATTAGACATCTCTAAACTTTGCGCTTCCTGTTCTGTACTGATCGCGGGTGTTAGGCCACAAATGAGTTTTGCATAAAGTAGGGGTGATCCCACAGCCCTAAGAAAAAAAAGAAGAAGACACAATTTGTGAAGCTATGCCCCCACCTGACATCAGTTGATGACTCCTTCAGCGGTTTGTATTGCCACACCATTTCAGTTGGCAGTGGGTGAGCCACCAAACACAAGACCGCAATTTGCCAGTGTACATGTTTAATTAGAAGTTTGTCACCACGTCACCACGTGTCAATTAGATGACGCCCTTCTTCGCATCTTGGAGCGAGCGTTTCAAGGTTGAGCTGTCATTCGCTTGCATGGATTGGGGCAGTTCTTTCTCACCGGCTCTTCCAGATTCATACCGCATTCTCGCGGAGAAGGACTTGGAAAAGGGGGGAAGGGAGCTAGTCCTTCAGATCAAAGCCGGACATGCTGCTTTGCACGTATGCTTGTTGTGCAAAATGGACGAAGGACTTTCCAACAGAAATGAATGCCACATTGCAACTGGGCAATGTTTACAGTAGATCAATCCGAAATTGTTTGAAGCAAACCTCCTGTTGCAGCTCAGTGCTGGTCAGGGGGTGCCAGAAACTCTGCCTCGACCGGAAAGATTGCGTGCACTTTACCGTGGCATGGTGGCAGTGCAGCAAAAGTAGGCATGTGGCATACGAGGGTTTCATTCGATCACTTTCATTTGCAAGCTTCACGGGCTCCAAATGGCCCCAAGATGCGTGCCCTCAGGTCGAGTTTCCTATACGTTCCTGCATTTTGGTTGGAAAAGATGCACTTGCCACAGCTGGAATAGTCGGGGCAATATCAGGTCCACCGAAGTGCCTTGGCCCCCACTTTCTGGAAGATTTGGAGATAGCAAATTGACGAATAAAGAACATGTGGCATTGAGAGTCTTAAGCAAGAAGCTACTAGGGTGTGTTGAGGCGAGCGCGATTTGTTCCTTTGTTTCTTGCAGCGAGCATGCTGTTGCTTGCTTGTGCAAATCGGCGCTGAGGTGTGGTGACAAAGCGATGCAGCATCTTCGATGAGTATTCATCATACAGTAATCAGTAATCAATGAAATTTGGGTTCGGACCCGGTTGATGATCATATTTACTAGCACTGTGGGCTGTTGTTTGGTGTTCCTATGTTACATGCATATTGTATTTGTATTTTTTTAATTTACTGCTTTGCTCAGGTCTTACTACTGGGAGTTGTCCCCGCAAGGGGGGCAGCAACAATGGAGATATGTCGATCCAAAAGTGGTGTGCCTGGGTTTCACATGTAAGAACTGCATGTTTGTTATGTTGTCCCATAGCTCAACCCTGCCTTGGTAAACTATTGTATGCCAAGATAGAATTAACAGAAACAATCATTCATTGGCTTGCTTGGGAGTGGGGGAGTGGGGCCGCTGGTGCACAAGTCACGCAAAAGTGAGTCATGCATTTGTATTAAAATGCATATATATATATATATATGCTAGCCCCCCTCAAAAAAACATATGTTTCTGAGTCCTGGTGTTACTCCGTATGATTTTGTGATACGCCAGAGACAGATGTTATGATATGACAGCAAGAATGTTGCAGACACATTTCTCACACGTATTTTGCAGACACATTTTTCCTTGCAGTCAGACAAAATTCACTTGGCAAAGTGCCAAGTGCACAAGGTACCAGAGGACTTTTCAACTCTTGACGCACGAGTTAAAAAACATATGCCTGATGTGGACCCAGGCTTTCCGTCAATCTAACATTGGGTTGAAGCTTTGACAATGCACACTTGTCAATCCGATGTCATTTCTTCATCCGACTCCTCTACCTGGGCGCGGAGGTGTTCAATCTCTTGTTGGAGGTAAGCAATCTCAGCATTCTTGCCTTTGATGATTTCCTCGGCTTCGGCCAGCTCTGCCTGAGTGGCGTGAAGGGCGTCGAAAATTGCCTCGAACTCTTGCGTCTTTTTGTCCACCTCCGCCTTCAACCCCTCGAACTCTTGCGTCTTTTTCTTCACCTCCGCCTTCAACCGGTTCGCCTCCGGGCCTTCATCACCGGACTCCATCGAAGATGAACTTGACGAAGAGGAGCTTGAAGAAGAACTCTTCTTATCCTTGAGGGCCAGGACGCGAGCCTTGGGCGCGGAGGAGCTTGCGGAAGACTGCCCTTGCTGAATGTCTTGGATTGCTAGGGTAGCAGGAGCCTTGTTCAATATAGGCTTGGTCAGTAACGCCTCGAAGCGCTGCTGAGCTTCATCTGTCCAGTCTCCTGTGGCCCCCGGCTTGAGCAAGAGTTGCCGTTGAATGGTGCTCAGCGCGTTGGGGATCCATTTCTTCTGCAAGGGCAAGCGGGTAGGGTGAGCGGCCCAAGTGCCGGACGACACTTTCTCCAAGACGGTGCTCGTGGCCGGTCGCGTCATAGTGACCTGACAGACACGGAAACGAAAGGTTGAGAGCACCAATTTGTGAGGGTTGCATGAGGAGCAGCTGCGTTGAAACAGATTTATGTTGCGTTTAGTTTTTTGGTTTGACCGGCGCCTGCCCGTTGGTCCACTGCACTGTGCCCGAAATGTGCATCGCCATGGGCCCGGAGGAACAAGACCAGATTAGTGTTTTGAGCCTTTCGCGCTCACAGGGAGATATTGTAAGTGATAATTCCTCAGAATGATAGTGCAATTTTGTCATTACCAGAGAATGCCAGAGAATGCATTCCTGCCCAAAACCAAGATCCAAAATCCAAGATTTGCACAGAAGTCTTGTGGAAAATGTTGGATTTGGGAACATCCTGCCCAAAACCAAGGTCCAAGACAGAAGTCTTGTGGAAAACCTTGGATTTGGGAACATCCTTTATCACTGTATCAATCCAAGATTTTGGCCAGGGGTCTTGTGGGAATCTTGGATCTTGGATCTTGGTTTATCCAAGATTTTAGCCAGGAGTCTTGTGGGAATCTTGGATCTTGGTTTATCTAAGATTTTAGCCAGGAGTCTTGTGGGAATCTTGGATCTTGGTTTTGACCAAGAATGCATTCTGAATGCATTGAATGCATTCTGAATGCATTCCCTCCAAAGTGGACAAACAAGTCATGCAACCTACGCGCGCAAAAAATATATATGGTACCCCAAAAACTAAGGCCCAAAAGGCCGCCAAAAATAGACACAAAATAATGCAAATACCAGCAAAAGTGAGGTGAACATAGGTTTTTTTTTGGGGGGTACCATATATATATATATCTGTCCGATTTACTGTATACCATTTTTGAATCTATCATTGTGAATTGAAATATTTGTTCAACCTTTGGCCTCGATCCTGTGCGCCCGTAACAACAATAAAGGAGCTTGGCACTTTTGTCCGTCGCTGGCGCTGTGCTGCTTTTTCTGGCGTGGTGCTCTCAGTAGAGATTGGTAGCTCTACTTTGGCCTTACTCATGCCTACTCATTGGTAGGGCGTCATTTCGCTCTCTTGACTGCCAAGGTTGCTGCGACGGAATTCTCCAGCATGCTCTGCTCGGGGTATGCATCACGCAGTGCAACACGCTTGCTACACCCAAGCAATGACCGAGTCGCCAAGCCATGAGTGGAACCAGGTCGAAAACATAATTTATTCAACGCATCTCAATATGAACTGCGAAAGGTGCCAAACAGAAAACGCGAAGCTGGTGGTTTATGTTTCAGGCATTGATGAAGCCAGTGCCAGTGGACTGGGACATTGAGTTTGCAACTGCTCCTGAAGGGTACCCGTATCCCGAGTGAGTCTTCGTTATCAGTTAATACTGGTTGAATGTTTCAAGCGTGACCAGTGAAACTGGTCCCGCTGCAATTTCACCGCGCTTAATTCAGTGAGTTATATTGCGCCATCAAGTGCAAACAGTCACCTTTGGCAATTTGCTTGCTGACTCAGCGAGTTCTTGTGGCTTTTGCTTTAGCAGTGCCATTGCGAAACTGCAATGGGGCTCAGCCAGCAAGCCATTGCTTTCATTGCTCGGGTCAAAGTCAACTCCGCAAAACACCAGGATGTGCAAAGTGCCACTCTAAAAATGTCTCGATTGCAATCATGCTTCTGAGTCACTGAGGTTCTTCCGTCCATTTCTTCTTCTCGGCTCCCAGCACACGAGCAACCAAGGGTAGGTTGAGTGCGGCGAACACCTTGCAAATCCAGCATCCATTTATAGAGATTCTGCGAGGTACTTGTGCAAATATGGCAGTGCTTTGCGAAGCTTTTGAAGCATTTGCCTCCCAAAACCGCAAAGAATTGCTTTAAAACTGCTGCCGCACGAGATCCCATCATTCTTCAGCTTTTGGCAAACGTCTTGCAAGATATTTTTCAGTAATTGCAATGTTTTGACGCTTTTAAACATCAATGTGGTCTGTGTGGTTTGCTAAAGTGCCTTAGATGCAACCATCAGCACCAGCCTGTTCATGGGTTCAAGTGACAAGTGGGTTCACTGTCACAATTTCAGAACGGAGGCGGACGGCTTTGTGGCAAGACTTGTTAAAACAACCTGTAGAGGACTAATCGTGTTGAATCGTTTCTGAATCGTTTCGAGGTTATCCTCCTTCACAAGTACGATGACTGAGGCTCAAACATGTGGTTAAGAGGCCCACTCCTCGTTGAAAAGAATGAGCTCTGACACTTCTGGGTGGCGCGCAACTAACACAACTCTACGCAAATTATTGCTGCCTGCTGCTGCTGCTGCAGCGCATGCTGAATTGGAGGCGCATGCCATTGCGCCGCCAGCCAGCCAGCCACCTAATGTGGTACCTGCGTTAATCACCCCCCCTCCTGAACAGTTGGAGCCCCTAGAATAGTATTAACATAATTACAATAGAACGCCAATAAGCAAAAGGAATCTTTACTCGGCTACCTCTGGAGCTACTCTGGCAAAAACAAAACGAAAGGAACCAAGACTGAAGACATGTGCAGTTAGCATGAAAGAAATCAAACGCCTAAGGTTGAAGACATCTGCAATATTAAAAATGAAGGGAATCAAGAAACCAAAAATAGAAACCTCCAAAAGTTGTTCCATGAAAATCTGCGTGATCAATGGTTTTTTGAAAAGTAGAAGACTTGATCACAAGGAAAAGATATCAAACAGAATGAAGATTAGCTTCAGGAAAGCTGCAACCTAAGAATCAGCCCAAAATATTGTTTTATCCAAGAAACTTGCTTGCTGGACCGAATGACTTTTTGTTATTTTTCAATGTTTCTGAATAATGATTTTTGTAAAGACAGTGCGCACATACTTTGGGAACTTTTGGAAGACTTAAGGATTAAAAGATCTATATAATGAAAAGTAAAAGGCTTGACCAAAGAAAAAAAGCAAAAAGAATGAAGATCAGTTTCAGGAAAGCTGCAATCCAAGAAACTCCACATGTCTAGACATTATTCCCCAAACAGTGTGGACACACTTAGGGGTTCTTACGGTAGTGGTTAAGCACCTGTGTTAGATCGCTGTGTCGCGTGGGCGTGTGTGGCTAGTTCGCTGCTATTTACAGTACATTCATGTTTCTCGAAATCGTCAACGTGCATTTCGGCTGCGCAGGCTCGCGAAATCTGCGTGGGCGCGGTGCTTGTCGCGACTGCGCTCTCGTTGTGGTGCCGTGCGCATTTTCGGACATGGTAGTCACTTTTCATGGCAGGCGCAAGGGAAACCTCCTGTTTTCGTGGTCCAAAGTTGACTTTTTGTGACAGGCGCACGGGATCGGAGCGGCTTTACTTCGAAATGATGATTTCGTGGCAGGCGCAGCACTTTGGACATGGTGGTGATCTTCGATGAGCTCTGATTTCGTGACAGGCGTGCAGATTTCGTGGCAGCCGCGGCACTTTGTGGACCTCGAAGTGCAGATTTTGAGGCAGGCGCAGCACTTTGTGAACCTCGCAGTGCAGATTTCGTGGCAGGCACAGCACTTTGTGAACCTCGCAGTGCAGATTTCGTGGCAGGCGAAGCACTTTGTGGTCAGATGCTCACCTCCCGCCTCTTGCTCTCAGTCACACTCACACTCACACACGCTCACACTCACACTCACACTCACACTCACTCACTCGCTCTCACTGTCACATTCAAACTCAGTCCCACACTCACCCTCACACTCACACTCACACACTCACACTCACTCACTCTCTCACCCTCACTCACTCGCACTATCTCTCACCCACACTCACATTCACCCCACTCTCACCCTCCCACTCTCCTACTCTCACTCACACTCACACAGACACACTCACTCACTCACTCACTCACATTAATTAAATTAATATCACTCTTTCACTCTCACCCTCACTCCCACTCCCACTCTCACCCTCTCACTCACTATCTCACTCTCACTCACTATCTCACTCTCACTTGCACTCTCACTCTCACTTGCACTCTCACTCTCACTCACACTCACACTCACACCCTCTCACTCTCACTCTCACTCTCACCCTGACTCACTCTCACTCACACTCACTCTTTCACTCTCACCCTCACTCCCACTCCCACTCTCTCACTCACTATCTCACTCTCACTCACTATCTCACTCTCACTTGCACTCTCACACACTTGCACTCTCACGCTCACTCACACTCACACACCCACACTCACACTCTCTCTCTCTCTCGCTCACTCACTCACTCACTCACTCTCACTCTCGCTCTCACTCTCACTCTCACTCTGACTCTGACTCTGACTCTTCACTCGCACTCACACTCACACTCACTGCTGCCACCGTCACCACGATCTCTTTGGACCGCAAGGCGTCTAGGTGTCTGGACTTTCTGCTGCTACACCTCTAAGTCTAGGCCTCACACACACTGTTTGGGGTCTCTTGCCGGAATAATTTTAGGGCCCCCAAAATAATGTCAGAAACTTGCTTGCTGGACTACCCCTTTGTTGGCATGATTCTTGTTGGCTCTCAATGTTCTTGAATAAGGATGTTTGCACAAAGAAATGCGCGCATACTTTGGAAACTTATGGAAGACTTAGAGATTGACCGAGTTAATGAAAAACAATAGACTTGATCAACAGCCCTTCAAAATCACCAAAGTTCAATGGAAATCTAAATTAAAAAACATATATATATATACACTAGAAATCTCCACCCAAAGACCTTCAACATCACCAAATCCCAATGGAATTCTCCAATGTTTGATGGACGTGATTTGCAAAATTACTAAACCAGAGGAACAAAAATCAACAAACAACAGCAACAAAAATTTGCCCCAAAACAGTTCTCCTCCCAAAAGCATTATTTTGGGGGCCTTCATTAATCAGTGCAGGGTTGACATTATTCATATTGTTCTGGAGGCGTTTATTAACCAGAGAACCACATTAGAATCAAAGTATCCGGCGGCCACCAAAGTATCCGGCGGTTGGTGTCCGGCGGCTGGCGGAAGCACACGCAAAAAGTATCCGGCGGCTAGCAGAATCAGCCACCAAAAATATTCGGCGGCTGGCGGAATCAGATCTTTATTAGGCCCCGAACTTCAGGGTCTATACACAAATCACACGTGCAGGTTGTGCGCCTTGGAGGGAAATGAGGAGAAACGTCAAGGGAAAGAAGGACAAGGGTTCGGTAAAAGGGTTAGGTGCCCCATGGCTGGAAACTTGGAAGGCCCACAGAGGCATACCAAGTTATGGCAAACATTTTGAAAATTGCGCGCAAACAATTAGCTTTCAGTTTTCCTAAACGGACATACCACAGTGTACATAGATAGATAGATATATAGGGTATGTAATAGCTATATTATATAGTTTGTTTTTACTGCAAATGTTTGGCATTCTGTCCGTCGTCGCCGTCGTTGGTCCCGCAGATTGCGCATGTTGCGTGAATGTTGTTACATGCGCTGGCATGATTTGCCACAGCAAGCTGGTACTGAGTACTGCTTAAACAGGCCCACCAAGCACAGGCCCCTTTCAATCTCCTTGCAAGAAATGGCAGGAGGTCGACACTCCTTGCCTGATTTTTGGCGTCTCCCCATCCCCAGCCTTTGCTCTTGCGCTGTGGATTTATTATGCTCTGCGACTTTGGTTGTGCCTTGGTCTCGATGATTGCCCAAATGAGTTCCAGACTCCAGACAATGGTATCCGCAATGTTCATGTCCACTCTAGACTCTTTCCATGCTTGATGCCATTTGATGCCTATCACACCTCCGTGTGACCTTTGACATTGCTTAGCAAGTTTCCTCATGCCGCATGATGCCCCAAGTTTCCTTCTCTCACGTGCAGATACGTGCAGGTTGGTGGTTTTATATAGAGGTCAAGGGACTTGAGACCAGAGTTGCCGCATGAAAACAAGGCGGTGCCGTTTGCACTCCATGTGGTTCAATTCAGTGCATTAGTACAGTGTAAAGTCTCAGTTGCTGTTGCAGCCTCGAGAACAATGCTTGTCAGAATGTGCATTGGCTTCTGACCATGGTGGCCACTGCAAGGATGCGGCTGAAACTGTTGCCATGTTCAATGGCATTTGCTGTGGCATGCCATTTGCTGCGACACGGATTGAACAATTCAGAAGGGTTTGTTGGCAACAACTGGTTCAGCTGCGGCCGTGAGAATCCAGTGGCTCTATCAGCTTACAAGCCGATTTTGCGACGGGACCCGAAATTGAATGTGAAGCTTCAAGCGTGGATCCGGCAGCAGCTTCGCCTCGTGAAACGTCAAGAGGCTGGAGGCTTCTCAGAACCTAACGAGAGAAAGAGGCTGTACTTGAAGAAACTTGGTTTGGACAAAAAAGCTGACGAATTGGAACAACAGAAACTTCAGCCTCCGTGGCATTTGAATCATATCGTTGCGGGTGACAAATTTGTTGGTTATTTCCAGCATCCCGAATTGTTTGACGGAGAGCAGCTGGATTTGACTTTGGAGGCAGTATCTGAGTCTGAAGGAACCATGATCTCCAAGAGGGGAGATTTTGATGAAACAATGAAGCTTGAACAGGACTACCCCATTGCGTTTCAGTCTGGCGAGCAGAAGGACAATGATATGGCAGCCTATACATTTCACAAGTTCAATGAAGGCTGGAGAAATTTTGAAACTCCGATGCCATCAGAGGCTGACTGTCAGCACTTGACCTTGCCCATGCTGAGATTGTTCTTCAAGCAGGCCTGGTATTTGGGAGGGGTGTCACACCCAAAGTTACTACTAGTAAGGCACCTTGCTACTAGCAGCTAGGTTTGTTGAAGGTTATTTGGTGTTTGAAGGTCTTGAGGTATGCGCCGCAAACTGTTTGACGAGGTGGCTGATGTTGAAGGTTTCCCATCTGAAAGCGAGTTTGCTGAGAGCTGCACGGATGCTTCAAAGGGTATGACCAGGGAGGAGCTCACACACATTTGCGCATCATTGTGTATGAAATCTGCACTTTTAACCATGTTTGGTTGGCAGTGTGCGCTTGCATCTCTCCCTGCAGGAGTTTTTGACTTATTTGCGCGCCGAATCTCCAGACTACCTAGCACTTCAGATTAATTAACTGCAACTAGCAAGAGGCAAGAGAATGAGAACTAAAAGCCGCCTTTATATAGTATAAGCATTTCAATATGTTCTCACAACTGTCCTGAGGAGAAGTCCTTCAAAGGAATTTTCACGGGGCGACGACTTCGCTTGAGGGATGAGACATTGGACTTTGACGGCGATTTTCAATCAGATGCAAAGAACTTGATCTACGGTTCCTGAATGCAACAAGATACGTTTTCTTTGGGCAGCAACTTGCTGTGCATACAGTTGCTGCGGTTTTGCTGAGGCTTTGTCTCTTTCAATGGCAAGCCTGGTGGAACATTCAATCTAGAATTGTCAGAGGCTCAGACTGCTGCTAGCAGTGCTGCTATTGTATATTTATATATATATATATGTGTGTTGTCGTGGAAGTTTGGTTGTAGTCTTTGGGGCAGCTGAGCTGAGGACAAAGGAAAAGAAATAGAGCCTATTTGGAGTTCCATGCAGGAAGCCTGACTTACTAGTGTCCGCCTAGCCAAAGAAAAAGCTAGTGGAGGATGTGGAAGGCTTGTTCAGGGCGGTTGCTTAAAGCTTTAGATACTTGTGTGCACTTCTTTGCGCCAGTTCAAGTGATGCGGTTTCAGTGCAGACTTGGTGCAGCAAGACAAGCAAGCAAGCACGCAAGCCCTGATGCTCCAAGACTCAACCCAGGTATCGATCATTGGCTAAGCATTAGGTGAGCCGGCCAAGTGTACTCGGTGACATGTTCCATATTGTTCCATCGTTCTCCATTTTTTATTTTAGATTTGGGTATATTCAGCAGCGCAGGCATAAGACTAGGGTGATTTCACTTTGAGAAGCTTGCGACATGCTTCTTGGCAAGCATGCTTTTGGCTGCTTTGACCCCTGCATATTGGATCCTTCGGCTCTCGCCAGTTTGTGGGGCACCTGCCTGGCTTCCAGACGTCGAAATCGACGATTACGAGTGCCGCCGTGCAATTTCAAATCCCGTGGTTAATTGGGGCGTTTTGCGACAACGATTTGGAGATCTTTCAAGATATGTGCTGGAAGAAAGGACTATGTCGATGAAAAGAGAAGATGCACTGCTTTCTGACAAGGTGCTTTTGGATGTGCAAATGGAGCTTTTGGAGTTTTCTGCAGTGATCTTGTGGCGCTTTCCCGCCGCTTTGAACGAGTGTCCTTTTGGAGCAGTAACAGCTTCGATCTTTGCCACATGCATGGCCTTCATTCGGCAGGAGCTTTCTGAGCTGGACACGACCGCCTTTGAGAGCCTTCTCAAGTCTCCTTACGACCGGTTTCTAGCTGATTTGAGACAGCAGTCGTTGGTGGAACTGCTGTCGCGAGACCTTGCTGTTCTTTTGGACTTGGCACCCTTGCATGTCACAGCAGCCACAGAGTGGTCTTCGTTTGCGCTGCTTCATATATACCTACCCAAGATACAGGTTAAGCATTACCAGTTGCCGCAGCATTCTCAGACTTGCTCAGGTGCATCCGTTTCGGGCTACACCGCAGATCGCATTCGGGATCTCCTACGGCGCCATGTTCCATACGCTTCAGGACGTGACATTGAAGGTCTGAAGTTTTTGCGAGGTCTCGATGGTGTTGTGTCTGCGGCCATGAAGGATCCTCGGGAGTTTTCCACTGCCTTTGTTCAAGCGTGCCCTGCTGGGTCTGCAGCGTTTGCTATTGCAGCGGCGATGCTGTCTCTTATGTCAAACCCTTCCTTGTTCGAGCGCTTCAGCAACCTTGCCCTGTGGGTAATGCGATCCTACACCTCCGAAGTCTTGAGAGGTGCCACAACTTGGAGTGTTTTTCATGGACTTGCAAAGCTGGGGCAATTTGCATTGAGATCTTTTGACTTGGTGTGTGGGGCTCAGCTTTCACTTCTTTTTTCCTGAAAATCTAGGAACCAAATAGTCCGATTGCGTCCTAGCTAGTGGCAATACCTGGTAGTTTGTTTAAAAGTTTAGCCCTTCATTGAGTAGGCGCTTACTCAATTAAGGGCAGGTAAAAAATAAAAGCAGACTTTATGCTGCTTTGTGGCTTAGCTTTCCCAAGTTGACGCGACCGAGGTGGTCAGCGGAGGAGTTATTTCAGCTGCCCGAAGATCAGCACGACTTTGACAAACTCCGTGATCCATCACTTCGAGCAGAGCACCTGGAACATGCGGCGACCCATCCCACCACACGTGAAATTGCGGCTTTTCTTCGCAGGGTAGACAGGGTCAAATACAGCTCCGAAGCCATGGTGTATATAACTGCTGTTGGTGGCGTGCCTTTTTCCAATTACATTGAAGGACCTTAGGGACCGGTTGGGTTGGCAAACTGGATTAGTTACTGGGCTAGAGCTCAGGATAAGAGTATGTGTATATCATCTGTATATGTTCACTCTTGAGGAAACGTCACAGGAAACCACATGAGTCAATCATCCTGGCGTACCACATACACCCACGTCCTTGGGTATTTAGGCCCGAATCCTTTTCAGGAAAAGCGCCCGCGCTACTTTGTGTAGGATTCTTATGGGCTTGCACGTAAGAATACCACTCTGTTTAATTCACCCTAGCTGTCGACCCCTTTGTTGACTTAGTGTTCTTGATGGTTCAAGAAATTCTGAACAACTTCTGGAGCAGCCAAAATCTGTCGAACACTCAGGTGCATGCCTTTTTTGCTGAGTGTTCAGGGAGTGTGGTCCCCTCTGCAGGAAACCCTTGTCCTGCAAGGAAATGCAGCCAGCAGGCCCATCTGGCAGGATTGATCGATCAAGCGTTTTGAGCATTGAAAATGCTGCTGAGTGCAGGTGGTGGTGGTGGTGGTGGTGTGAAAGTTCGACACCTCGTTCGAAGCCGTCCTGTCGGTCAAACACAGTTGTTCTCATGTTTCCATACACGCACAAATCAAGAAGTGTACTGCAGTATGCACGGAAGCCTTTCGTAGAAGCTTGCAGTTGACATGGACTGTTTTTGCGCTTCGTTCAAATGCCTGTCGCGCCCAGAGCGACATCAACCCGGGTGATGCGCTTACGCATTGTCCGGGTGCATTCGATGCATGTCGCGTCCAGAGCGACAAATCGAGAAATGTACCAAGGACTTGCCATCACCGCATGGCTCAAGTGCGACGCAAGAAAAGCGTTGCACGTCCGGATCGGGGCGTGGGCGTTTCGGCTGATCGCGGCCGAGGGATTCCGTTCGATCGAACACGTTCGAAAGGCTTCAACTGTTTTCTTTTGGGTTCTCACGAGTTTCCAAATGTTTCCAACTTGAAGTTAACCTTCATATCGGAGCTCCTGCGGGAGCTGTAGGTTCCAATTCACTTAGGATAGGTCACGACTTTTCATCCGTAGAGATTGAGCCATGACCGATCGTGATGGAACTGCGCCTCAAAGAGAACGATCCAGAGGAAGATTTGAAACTCGGAGCCGAAGGAGTCCGGAAGCGCAGGGGGTAGACACGTCAAGAATAGAGAGATTAGAAACACAAGTTGCGCGCCTTTCAGATTCGTTGATCTCTCTTGGACCAGCTTTGCAACAGGTGATTCAGTTGAGCTCAAATCCAAACTTTGTTGCACAGAATGTTGCTGCCCCGACTGTTCTTCCGGGTTCTCAGATGCCAATCCCACCAGCACAGGTGCCACAAAATCCTGCACCTGGTTTAGCCCAGCCTGATCCGACAGCCCAACCATCCGATCTAGGTAATCCGACTAATGTCAATGCAGACCCACTGCAGACATCCGATCCTTGGCGTAACTATACAATACTTCGCCATCTCGAGAGGCTGGCATTCCTGAACGACCATTCCCTACGAGCCTGCCAGCCTCACCGGATCGTCAGTTCCCGCCGTTCGGAGCTTCTCAGTTGAACTCGAGTGAATTGATTCCCCCACCACCATAAATGCCACCCCTGCAATCCACAGGAGGTCCACGATCCATTCCGATCGATACTCCTCCGGGATCAATGCATGAGAATGGAGGAGATGAAAACCCCTTCGAGAGGAGCGAATGGTGGATGCCAAACATGCCCGCTCCAGCATACGATGAATGGAAATCACGTCCTCAAGAGATCACCGGGTTTTTGTCTTGGGTAACTGATCTAGCTAGTTGGACTGGATTAGGATCCAACGCCTACCCTGGAGAGATTATGGGTTGTATCAAAGAAACTGAGCCTTTAGGTTGGCATCGATTGCAACCCAGCCAGATAACCAGGTCAGTCAGACTTCTCTCCATTCGAAGACATGCTTCATGAACCATGCCCGAGCAAGCCTGGTTATTCGCAACTATGAGGAAGCTAAGGGATCTCATCGATGCTGCGGATTCGAGTGTCTTCGACTGATTGCAAGAGAGTTTTCAGTGAAAACCCGCACAGAGTTATTTGCCGAAGCCGACGAGACTTTGATCCTTTTGAGAGCCCTGCCCCAACAGTGTCGTCAGTGGATTGTCCTGAACAATGCCGATGAATCCTTTGTCTCATATGTTGAAAGTGCCCTCAGGTATGAAGCCCAATAACAACGTATTTGGCTTGATCTCAATGGCAAACCCATCGCCAGCCTGGGAGGTTTCGATCCAAAAGGCAAAGGCAAGGAGCGCAAAGGTAGAAAAGGTAAGTATGACAATCAGGACAAAGACAAAGAGGGCAAGGGAAAGCATTTGGGTAAAGGTAAAGGCACTGGATCCGGGTCAGAGAAGCTGTTTTCAATGTGGTGAACGAGGTCATTTGTCCGCCAACTGTCCCAATCGTGACAAGCGCCACGGCAGTCCTGAGAAGCAGTCCAAAGGTGATAAGGGAAAGGGAGATGGAAAAGGAAAGAGTAAAGAGAAAGGAAAGAAGGGTGAGAAAGGAGATAAAGGTGGAAAAGGAAAGATGAAAGGGAAAAGGGCCACTGAGTTTTCGCAACCAGGGTCCGAAGCCGGGTCCGAGGTATGGTCAGAACCAGACTTCGAAGACGGTGGTCGTCTTTCCACCTGTATGGAGCCTTCTTTGCCCGTTGAACCCTTCTTCATGTGCCAGAATCTTGATGATCATGATCCCCACCTTTGGCTTGTCGATTCCGGAGCTTCTCGAACCGTCGTTTCTGCGCAAGCATTGAAAGTGTATCGATTGTTGAAAGAACGGAACATGACCACACCCATCAACCTTCGAACAGCATCCGGAGAGCAAGTATCTATTGAAAGAGAATGTATGCTAGAAGTGTTCTTTCCCACCATGATTGAACATGAAGACGGTGAGAAAGTCAAGGTTGTTCGATATGAAATTCGTGCCGTCATCGGACCTGTAGAGCACAATTTGTTGAGTGTTCATGGACTCACCCGTATGGGAGCAACGTTCACGTTCGGTCCGAACAGCTGCAGCATCCAAATTGCCGACATTCGCAGGATGTCATGCGAGATTTGGGCCAATGTACCTTGGGTCCGAGCTCATCGAAGGCGTGGAAAGGACTGCAAGGGGGATGTCGACATGGAAGCCCAGGTTTTTGAAGCTTGGTCCGATCAAAGTCCTTCAAGTCAAGGTGGTAAGAGTCCAAGTCAGAGCAGCATCTCCAGTCCTTCAATAGACACGACGTATCGCACTTCGAGTTCGGCCATTGCCTTCTTTGGAACCACGTCCAAATCAACACACACAGGTCATGCCAAAGTGTTGCAGTTCGATGATGAACCAGAAATCCATGAATTTGAGCCCAATACCATGTCACCCAAGCCATCGAAGCTGCATGAATCATGGCCTAATGCACTGATATGCGCTGGTAGCACATCGGATGACCATCCGCTTCCAGCCTCAGGTGATGTTGATGAACCTATGGATCCAGTTCCAAAAGAAGATCACGCACCAGATTCCGCCCAGATCCAGGCAGCCGAACCGGCAAGTTATCAGCAGCTGAGTCGTAAGATCGAAAAGGAGTTAGTTTTGCACCGCCGATTCCATTCGACAGCCGCTGTGACCATTGTGTTCGAAGTAGATCTGTTGTTCGGCATTCACGATCCCATCCCGGTAGAAGTCCGATTGACCACAAGTTGTTGCTAGTTCAGGCCGACTTCATGTTTTTAGAGGGATGTCGATTTTTGGTCCTAGCTGACGCCGGGACTGGACTCGTTGGGGTTGCCGCTGTTGATGGTCATGCCGACCAAACCCAATCTGATTGTCTCGCATTCTTCAAGCAGCTAGCAGTGACTGAGGCTAGTCCAGTTGTTGTTGAAGTGCTCACGGACAGTGATGCTATGTTGAACCTCTTGCGACGTCTTGGCCTCCCACTTCAAGTCAAAACGGCGGGACCTCAAGCCCACGAAACTGTGGGACTCGCAGAGAGGAACGTGAGAAGGTTCAAGGAAATGGTGAGTTGTTTGAGGAGTGACCTTCGCGCACATCGGTTCGACTTGACGTGTTCGGGAGAGTGTCTTCGGTTCGCCCTCAACTATATCGCCCAAGCACATAACCACTTTGGGGTCGGTAGCACTTCAGGACATTCAGAAGGACTGAACTCTCGCAGGACACCCATCGAGTTGGTGCTTCAGAAAGAACGACCAAGTCTGACCTGCTCGATGTTCGCGAGCGTAGTGCACGCCAAAGTCTCCGTCGTTGGCTGCATCAGTACCAGAGGCAACCAGGTTTGGTTCCAGCAGCATACCTCCATATACGACCAAACACGCTGGTTCACGTAGTGTCCTCGAAGATCGGTGATAGAGTCCACATCTTTCAGGTGGAGGTGAAGCCCTTGAGTCAGATCGTATGGGACACCTCACTCGCACCTGATGTCATCAAGGTAGCTTCGGATGTGGATGCAGCAGCACGACCTCATGACCCAGCACGACCTGCTCAACCACAGGATAGCGAGTTCGGGATTCGCGAGGGCCTTCCGTTGAACGGTCCGCCAAGGGCCTGGGTTCGAGAGCACGGTCCAACTCCCGATTGTTCCGCCTGCAACTCCCAAAGTAGGCATGGGAGGAAACATACTGCACGCTGCTGCCGCCGATATAGGGACTGGGTAGAGAATGAGAGAAAGAAATTGAGTGAACCAATTCCTCAACCTGAAGTTCCAAAGCCGATTGAATCGTCAGATCCAAGTCAGTCCCCTAGGATCACCCGACAGCCCGTATTCGATATCATCAAAAGATGCCGCCGGCCATTCCAGGTGACAGTGCACCGCCGACTGAGTCTGAGAGACCTGAGCCAGAAGCTTCGAGGGATCATCCAGGCATTGGACCTATGGACATTGACCCTGAGTACGAACCATCAATTCCTGATGACGATATGCATGAAGAAAGTTCGCACGTTGGTCCGCCTGATCCCATGAAGCTGCCGATGGATGTTTCG